GTGGACGGGATCAGGGTACCATCGTCCCGGGGACTGTACAGCGTGCTGTGGACGGGATCAGGGTACTATCGTCCCGGGGAATGTACAGCGTGCTGTGGACGGGTGGCAGGGTACCATCGTCCCGGGGACTGTACAGCGTGCTGTGGACGGGATCAGGGTACTATCGTCCCGGGGAATGTACAGCGTGCTGTGGACGGGTGGCAGGGTACCATCGTCCCGGGGAATGTACAGTGCTGTGTACATTGCTGTGAACTCTGATGGCGACTTGCAAGCGAGCGTGCGAGCGTCCCATAAATAGCGCCTCTGAGAGATCCGGGGGGGAGGAGGGGGAAGCAGGGTGGGCGACCCCGTATGCCCCCTCCTGGGGATGGTGTCTCGCCTGCTTTTGGTGCCCGATGCCTCCTGCCGCTGCTGTGGATGTAATTCCGGGAAAGATCTGGTCAGGACCAGAGTTTCAGATGGAGCCTTTTCTGATGCCGTGTGATATCAGCAAACAAACAGGTCACGGGCGGCCCTGGACTGTCGCATGTGGTATTTCCATTCAGGCGAGGTGAGTCCGGTCACGAACGGGTGCATCTGAACCCCACATCGCCCTCCTGTGATCTCAGTCACACCCTTATTTTGATCAGCTGTCCTGTAACCAGTCAGTTGGCTTCCTATTTACAGAATTAATTTCTGTTTATTTTCTCTGATGCTCTTAAGCACAGCCCTCGCCGACTCCCTTCATGTTCCTGACTGTAACCCGGCAGCGTGGCTCGCAGTGCTGGGATGGGAAGGAGGACCGATTTTGCGGAAAGCGGGATCGTTCGGCTCCCTCCCGTAGCCGGGCGCCTCATTGCTGCTGGTGTGTCTTCAGCGTGCAGCTTGGCTCCTTGGCTGCGGAGGCTGTTTCCCTGCCCGCCATGTTACTTCACCGAAAATAATGGGGCTTAGAATTATGGCCACAGCCTCAGGTAACCGCTGCGCCCGTACACCGCTAGCTAAGCGTATAGTACATAGTGTCTGTAGCTGCCTCCATCCGGAGGGGTGTGTGCAGGCGTTCGGTATTTTAAAGCTCTGTGTTCACACCTCTACAAACCACGTTTCCCACGCCTGGGCAAGCTAATCGGCTGTAACTAAATATTTGTCAAGTGTTTTGTAACGTGTTCTGTTATTTTCTCCGGCGGTGTAGAATAAACGCGGTTTGCACGTAGGTCTGAGATCTTCAGCAGCCTGGTTAGGTGTGGAGCTGTTGATTTCGGGGTCATGTGCAGGATACGTGTGCAGGAACGCCTGTATGCCCACAGCCCCGAGGTGCCTTCACACAGCCGATATGAAATCAGAAAGGTCTCCGTCAGCTGCCTGCCCCTCCCTCCTCCTCCTGTTCCTCCTCCTCTTCCTTGCTCAGTGCTCCCCAAGGTTTCCGGATGTTCTGGAGCCCTCAGCCACACTGCTGGAGTGGCTCCTACCAGCAATTCAGCTCCTCACCAGCCTTAACAAGAGCTGCAGCCCCTGATCAGGTCATTCCCAGAAACGGTATCACCGCGGCAACGGCATGGACAGCCTCTGTCAGTGACCACCCCCATCCTGCTTTGTGACTAGTCCTACTCCTTCTCTCTACCACCTGCCCTGGTACTTTCTCCCCTGTGTTTACCCTCCCCCCTTCTTGGTCATCCACAGTTCCTCCCTGCGACGCTCTCGTCCGCCTGAACACACCAGCATGTGACTGTTCCCTCACTCCCATGTTAGGCGCTCAGCTGCAGATCCTGTCTATCTCACGTACAGGAGCTGAGAGTGCTTAGTTATTTTTTTGTAGTTTAGGTCTTTGTTCCCTGGTTGCAGGGCCGCTAATGTGTTAATAAGCAAGACACCTCGCTGTGGAGTGAAACTGTGCAGTGCTACTTGGCTCGTTGGGTCATTTAACTGCATATTAGAACCAAGGAAATTTACAATTACAGTATTTTTGTACCCGATTCCAAGACTCTGTCTCATTTGTAAGCATGTGCAAGGCCCAGAGTGTGATTGAAGGATGTGAGCTTATCTCCCGGGTGGAACAAAGGCAATGTTTTCTCCAGCTCAGGTTAACTGTCGTGATCTTTTTGCCCCAATACAGTTGAAATGCAGTTAAACTAACAACTAGCAGTGAAGTGCATCAGACCTTTACCTTTCTTTGTCTGTCATAAACAGCTTTGTTGACCGAGTTTGGATTTAGGAATTTTATATAAAAATGAATTAATTTTGCCAGAATGGCTTATTGGTTAAAAGATGCATTACTTATTAAAATTCATAAATGTTTCTCACCTGATTCAGTTGCTCTACTGTATCATTTAATGTTTCATTTTGCTTTGTACTATAAGTTGTAACTGAGCTTCTCTGAAGGATTGTGAATAATTAGTGGGAGATTTCACGTGTGTGTGCGCGTGTACCTGTGTGTTTATATCTGATGGTTGCTGTGAGGCTGGCTTACGGGGAGACCGGCTCTCCCCACACAGCACTGCACGGCTGCTTCAGCTTCAGAGTTTGCTTCCTCATTTAAATTCAGCCGTCGGCTTTACGGCGTCTTGCTGATCCCGTAAGTTCTGCTTGCAGCTATATTTATTTTTATGATCCATTTGCCGAAAGCGTATACCCTGTGTATCTACGGCAACTTATCCTCCCGTGGCCGTGTCCTTTTACATGTCTCGGGAATTCCCCCCCTCCACTCCCCACACGCGAACACGCATGTTCACGTCCCACAATCAGTATGCTTGTGTCTGCCTCCCCCGCCGCCATCCTCTCTGCCACGCGCAGGTGCTCCAGCGAGGAGCGTGGAGTGTAGATCAGCCTCTGGTGGTCGTCTGGAAGCTCACGCTGAACGTGGGGCTGGTCTGGGAGGTCGCTCTGAACGTGGGGCTGGTCTGGGAGGTCGTTCTGAACGTGGGGCTCATCTGGGAGGTCGGATGTGTGAGCTCCATGTACTCGATGTGCCCGGAATGTCTGCATAGGATGCACTGATGCCTCCTTGTCTCGTCCCAAAGCAGCGATGCTCTGTAAGCACCAACGCAGCTGTAATTCACAGCCATGACTCCAGTCCTTATGCATGAGCACCTCCCTGCGATGCCTCCCGCAGTGTGGGGGGGAGCGCATGCCGGAGGACGAGGAGCTGTGGACCCTCAGCACTGGCTGCTTTCCCGGCCTGCTCCCTGAGCCCGGGCCCCGCTGGATCTGTGGGGGAGGGGAGGGGAGGGGACAGGCGGCATCGGCACACGGGAAGCATGTAACATGAGTTTGTGAGCGGCCGCTGCTTCCGTCACCCGGCCCGTTCGTCTGGCATGCGGTTTTTTTAACGTATGTTTTCAGTTCATACTTTTACAGAACTCCAAATGTGTGCTTGTTGGGGAGTCAGTCCCTGCTTTCAAACACGTTTCAAAAGAGCCCCAAACGCCAGAACATGCTGGAACAATCCAGTGGCCCCTCAGACAGACGCACGTCACTGTCGGACCCAGGCGGTTCAGTTCAGGGCCTCCGTCTGCTCTCAACCCAGCCAACAGGGCTGTCAGCAGGTCGCCACGACTGGGGGGGTCGGGGGGGCCGCCCTGTTGTGGGGGTCAGAGTTCAAAGTCAAGAGTTTACAGAGACGGGCCCGTAGCTGCCGGAAAAGTAGATAAGGGGGTGAAGGAGAGAAGGCGTCTGGTCTGTATCCGGCCCGATCCATCCGTCACGGTCGCTCCCTCGTTCTGCTCTGCTGGGCTGCCATCTGAGTTTTTTAGCATTGAAGTGGAGTTTGGACTCCATGCCACATGTTCACTGTGCTTCATAAAACAATGGCCTCTGTTATACATACTTGCTGTTACATGTCCTCAAAGATCCTGCCAGTCAGACATTATTTCTTTACAGGGACAGTCTGCATCTGGACATTTTTAACACGCCTTTCCTGTCTCACACTGCTCATACAAGTGTTCTAAATGCTGCAGTTTGTGTTTAGGACTGACTATGTGTGTAATAGTAATTTTGTTGTGCCTGGGCAGTAAACCAGTAGTGACACACTGCCCTCTAGTGGTTGAGCCTCCGTGCTGCACCGTGCCTGTCACTCGGCATGCGTTCTCGCTGCCCCATTGGAAACGGGAAATGAGGAGCAGCGAGTGCTCAGCTCGTGCTTGTTGTGTCTGTGCCGCTGTGCCAGGCCGTTATCTCCTTAGCTAGGTAGAAAATGATTTTATTAATTGCTTCATTTACGAACACCCTCCGCCCAGCCGCGTCTCCTCTCGTCAGGGATTGGCCGGCCCGTTCTCCGTCTCCGTGGGGACGCTGCGGTGAAGCGGCCCGGCCCCCGAACGCCATATGCTTGCCGGTGCACTGGCGTTAAGCACCGTGCCGCTGATGGATCCAGGAGCAGCTATGTGGGACGGAAAGTCACCGAGGGGGGGGGGCGGGCTGTGAGACGCGGTGATGTTAGGACCGATGGCGGTGGTCCGTACACACGCGCCGGGGGGGGACGTGCCCCACGGCTCACTCTCCTCTCTGCTCCTCTCTGTCTCCCGCTCACCCCCCCTCTCCTCTCTCCTAGGGCCCTCCCGGCTCCCAGCCATCACCTCACTCGCAGCCCCCACCGCACAACCCCAGTAACCCAATGATGGGGCCCCACGGCCAGGTAAGACCCCCCCGCCTGCGCGGAGCATCGGACGCATCTGTCACGTGTAAAGCGAAGCCGGCCCATCTACATATGAGAGGTGCAGGCAGGCAGACAGTGCAGTTAAAAAGTTGTTGCCCCCCTGCCCCGCCCCCCCACCCTTCTGACCAAGACTTTGTTGCCTAATAGGAACAGGCGTTAATGCTCTGCCCTCCCCCCAGTCTCATTTGCCCAAATCCCTTCTCGAAGCTGCGTCCTCAGATGAGGACCCCGGCACGAGGCATTCGGAAACCCCCACCCCACTGAGACTCCCCTCCAGCTCACTAGTGCGGAACATGGGGCCCCAAAGTGAGACCAGCGGGGGCCCCGCCTGAGTTGGGTCCAACCTTCCCAACTCTGTTGCGTGAAATATCCGAATCCGCACTCGCATAAACACTGGGTGTGACCGACGCAGGATGCAGCACTAAAGACGGATCTCGGCGTCTCACTAATATTTGCACAGAAACGCTCATGATTCCCATACGCCCACCCAAGAAAAAGACCTCAGCCCAGCTTATATGAGACCCGTGACAGGGGGAGCAGCCATCTGCCTTGGAGAGAGCACTGTTATTACTCAACGCTTTCCCCCTCCACACTGCCCCTCATGGCTGGTCCTGGTAACTGCACCTCTCTAATTAGTGCTGAGAGGCCGGGACCCCGTCCCTGCAGTTTAACGTTTCCCCCCCCCCGTGCCTCCGCCGTCATGTCAGCCTCTGTCTGTTTGCCGCCTGGCTTCCTTACATGCAGACACGCACTTGTCGTTCTTGCGTAGTTGTGGCGGAAGCATTTTAAACCCCAGTGTACTGCAGCGTCCTGCCGGCGATGTGTGAGCAAACCAAGGCGTAGAGTGTATTAAGGAGCAGTCTTTATGCGGTGCGCGATTTGGGTTAATCGACTGCTTGCCCTGGTATTTCGCCGGAGGGGCGGGTGTAGCCTGCTGGTGCCTGTGGATTGCGGGCAAGGCTGTCGTTCGCCGCTGAGATGCAGAGAGTCCTCCACGCTTCTGAAGGCCCCTCAGATGATCCATCATAGCCTCTCTGAGCGTCAGATAATCAGTGAAGATCCCTGAGCGTGTGCATCTTGAAGGGGCAGAGAATGAGCTGCATGCAAACTGGCAGCCCAGATGCAACCACTCGCTCGCCTCTGTGCACGTCTCGCACACGCACACACACACACACACACACGCACACAGAGTACATTGTCATAGTATGCAGCTTAAAGCCTTATAGTAACACAGCAGTCTCGGCTAATTTTCAGCGTATTTGCTATAAGTACAGGGACCTTGAAGATGGCCTGTAAAGATTACCCTTCTCTACAGGTCTCCTGTCAAATTTAAAGAATGAGTTTTGTGACTGAAACACATTTTCTTGGAACTTTGTCTCCCTCTGCTGGATATTTGGGATAAAAGCATATCTTCATCTCCCCAGCAACAAAGGCAACACGTGGTCAGACTCCCTTGGTGGCCGTATGAGTCGGTTGCATTAATCCTCTTCGGCTTGTCCGTTCCTGACTCTCGCTGTAGTGGCCTTTCGGCCGTCGCCTCACGTCTCCCTTTTGTTTCCCGCAGCCTTTCATGTCCCCCCGGTACCCAGGAGGACCCCGCCCCTCGCTCCGCATGCCGAATCAGGTAGTGCCGCCACGCCGAGTACAGCTTCCACCGTATTATGGGATGCGTAATGCGTGTCGTTGCGGTGCATGCTCACTGTGTGGTACGATTCCTACCTGCTAGCTTAGCTGCTGCTACCTGAGTCTCTAAGCGTGTTTTTAGCATGAAGGTTGATGCTGCCGATGTCATCACTTCCCTAAAAGCCCGTCGCTCTGTATCACACGCCCTCCTCCTTCAGCCCCCAGTAGGAGTTCCCGGCTCTCAGCCGCTCCTCCCGAACAGCCTGGACCCCACCAGACCACAGGGTAAGCACCTGCCTCCCCTTTTCTCAGACCAGTTGTGTGTGTGACTCGCTTGTGTTCTGACTATACTGTCTTCATCCCCCCCCACCCCAGGACATCCGAACATGGGCGGCCCGATGCGAATGAACCCCCCCAGAGGCATGGGCAGCATGGGCCCACAGGTAGGCAAGCCTCTGCCTCGCCCCCGCACCCCCTGCCGCATGCCCACCCCCAGTCAAGCACCTTAACCCAATCGCTGCACTCCCAGACGGCCCGACAGCCAGCTTCAGTATTAACAAACTTCCTCGTTTTGCCTGCCATGTTTAATTTATGGATTATTATGATAAGGCTCCCCAGTCCTTTTTCATCAGGCTCTGCGTTCTCCGTGATGCTTTTTGTCAATTAAGAGCCTCCCCCCCCAGCAAGAGCGCAGTAGCTACTAAATGAGTCCATGCGCCGAGCCTCCCTGACACGGCGCCGTCAGCCCTGCGCCTCCCCAGCCTCCCGCTGCCCTCCCCTCTCTATTTGGCAGCTAACAAGCCGGCAGCTGGTGCAGCATCTGCTCGACAAGTGTAATCATCTGCTGAACAAAACTCTTCCTGTGTGGCGGAGCTGCTCCGCGGCCGGCCCCCCCTCCGCCTGTGCCACCGTGCCACCGGGCAGCCTGCTCGCGCGTCCCGCTGAGGGCCCCGGCGGCGCGGACCCAGCTGCCTGTCGCGGCTGTCGCCGTGCCCTGCGTGTGAATCTGGGCTGTAGGCCGGCAGCGATGGGGCCACGGCACTGACCGCAGCTCCCTGTGTGTCTCTCTCCCCCCTAGAACTATGGAGGTGGGATGAGGCCCCCACCTAACTCTCTCGGGGGGCCCGGCATGCCCGGGATGAACATGTGAGTCTCGGCTCTCCTCCGACTGACTTATGACTCTCGTGTCACTAGTTAGATGTTCCTGTTGTGTGTTTGTCTTTAATAAATAAGATCAGACATCTGTAGAAAATATCAATCAGTTATGTTCATGGAGTATATGATTGCTAATAAGATGAAATAACTTCATTAATGAAATAATAATAGGAAGACTTGGAGAAAAGGACAAGGTGTCCTGACGGCATGGAAAGGGGGCTGTAGGTGTCTGTCCCCGCATGTCCCTCCCCCAAAGCAGCCTTTCAAAGCCTTTGCTTTAGCCTTTCTCTTGAGGCCCGTGCATCACCCTTGTCTGTGTGTGTCTCGCGTTTCCAGTCTCCGTTTCCTTCTCTCTGACAGGGGTCCAGGAGGGCGCGGTCCCTGGCCTAATCCCAATGCTAATTCGGTACGTTCCGGCCTCCGTTATCTCCGCTCTGTGCTGTATGTTAGCAAAAGGGGCGATGACATATGAGTTTGATATGAGCTGATTGTCATGGTGTCGATGCTATGGCCTTTTTCATGAAGACCCTGACCTTGTGCCCCCCCCTCCCAGATAGCGTACTCCTCTTCATCTCCGGGCAACTACGTGGTGAGTATCAGGCCTCAGTAAAGTCACTCACATACTGTCATGTTTTGTATTGGACCCCTGTGTTGTGGGGGCCACCATGTGTGGCACTGTGCTTCTTCTCAGTGTCACAGACTGTCTGAACATGAGCTGTCTGTCCTGCAGGGTCCTCCTGGTGGCGGCGGCCCTCCAGGAACTCCCATCATGCCCAGCCCAGGAGGTAAGTTACCGCTCCCTACTCCCTACTTGTTTTTCAGGGTCCTTGACCTAGATGTTCAACATGAGGGAAGTACAAAGGCAATCAGTGCTGATGTGCTCAGTCTCGGTGCTGAAACACAGAGGCAGTCAGTGCTGATGTGCTCAGTCTCGGTGCTGAAACACAGAGGCAGTCAGTGCTGATGTGCTCAGTCTCGGTGCTGAAACACAGAGGCAATCAGTGTTGATGTGCTCAGTCTCGGTGCTGAAACACAGAGGCAGTCAGTGCTGAGGTGCTCAGTCTCGGTGCTGAAACACAGAGGCAGTCTTTGGTGGTAAAAGTGAACAGCAGTAGTAAACTGTCGATGTAGATGTCTGCTGTGTCTGTGCTACGGTGCCCTAAGGACTGTGAATGCTGGTGGACAGTGACGAGGTTTATCAGCAGTGTTTGCTGGCTCAAACTCCCTTAACTGGCTGGTTTAGCTGCTAATGTCGGCAAACCCATGATTGATTACATATGTGAATTTAACCACCAGACCTTACAAACTCAAAACAAAAACACCCTCCAGTATCAGTCTCTACAATAATTGCATTAGTTGGTTTATAATAAAGGCAAAATTGATCTCTCTCTTCAACCCAGGGTAATTAAGAGCGTAAAATCAGAAAATGCTAAATGTTTCTTTGTAATTGTTTCTGTAATCTTCTCTCCCCTCTGAGGCTTCCTTTTATATCGACTGTCACCTCCATTTAAACAGTGGATTTCATTCTAATATCTGCTTACATTAGAAGCATTAGAATAGTCAATAAACAAAAACAAATGAGCTTGAAAACCGTGGTGATTATTTGAGCTGTAATAGCCTGTATGTGGTGCTGTTAATGTAATCAACACCAAATATGATGCATTTAGATAAACATTCATGCTTTGGCTAGAGATTTTATAGATAGTATTCTGTAAAAACGCTTTTCATGGTTATTGGCGATCCTTTGGTCTGTGTGCAACCAGAATTTTTAGCTATAGCATTTATGCACCTCTGTGAAGTACGCTGAAGTGGATGCTATTTCTGCTTCTATTTCTATGTCTGCTTTTGCCCACTCATTGTCATCACGGCGAGTCCTCGTCCCCGAACGCCTGCCTCTTTGTTATCGCCTGTCGGCTTAATGGCAGAATCGTCGCAAGCACAGTGTTTTCTGATCTCTAACCTTTAAGCGAGGAAACGAACTGCCAAAAAGAGCAGCTCGCTGCTACACATTTCACTGCACCAGGAAATGCCGGTAATTAGCCACGCACTAAAGAAGAATGATGGTAACAGGGCTCATTGGCTCCATGCCAGTGCAGAGCATAAATCCCAGTTATTTTTACATATGTGTACATTGTTTCCCCACTAGTTCACCTGCTGTTGTGTTGCTATGGTAATCGGTACACGGTACTGTATCCATATAAAATGGGCATTTCTCCCACTGCAGCCACTCAGCACTTGATGCCAGGCACTGTGACATACAGAAGCCGTGACATACAGAAGCTGTTCTCCTATTCCTCCCTCCCTCCCTCCCCCCCCTGCACCGCAATGTCAGTGTGAGGTCAGCTGTACCCGCAGGAGGTGGAAACAGAAGGCAGCCTTTTGCGCATCCATATACATCCCGACTTGTAACCCCCCAACCTCGGCCCCGATGTCCGTCGGTGTACCCCCCTACCCCCCCTTCCCGACTCGGCCTCGACGTAAGTCGGTGTACCCCTCTGACTCGGCCCCGACATCAGTCAGTGTACCACTTAGTATACTTAGTTATGATTTCCATATGACAATCTACATCCACAAAGCACAGGCATAATGGTTTTATATCTGCATCATTTGGAATTTTGTCATAAAAACTGCTGGCGGAGGGTAACCATTTACCCTAAGGTAACGCAGTGGGTAATGCTGGCTGCAGATGTCAGGTTGGCGAGTCTGTAAAGTATTTTGGCATTAATGGCTCACATGTGACCCAATTTCATTTTTTCTTTCCCTACAGACTCGACGAATTCCAGTGAAAATATCTACACAATGATGAACCCCATTGGACCCGGGGGCAACAGGCCCAGTGTAAGTTCCTGCTCATCTATGTGTCAGTATGACAGTTTTGTTGCTCGTTCAAATGCATTAAACCCCTTAAAGATTGACAGGCCCTCTGCTTAATTATGGGCTTACTTTGTTTTGTCGTACTAGGATGATACTCGGATATATAATCAGATTGACGGGCCGGGATTGTTCCCTCTAGGGACCTGGGCAATAACATTGGTCATGCTAATGTGCAGCTGCTGTGTCTGTGTTGCAGTTCCCCATGGGTCCCGGTCCTGATGGTCCGATGGGAGGTATGGGAGCCATGGAGCCTCATCACATGAATGGATCACTAGGTGAGCTATGGCATTAATATCAAACCATCATCCACCATCCCCCGCCCCCCCCGCCCCGACACCTTGCCTGCCTTCACTGCACTAAGCTGTGCTTAACTGGTATTTCACCATGGATCAGCTGGTATAATATCGCCCTCTGCCAGCCGATGAGAATTCTGCAGTCATGGTTTTTTTGTGCTGATTGGTCAGATTGTTGTGCGTCTTCCAGGAAATTTTCCTACGCACTGACAGTGTTTTCAATTACTTAATCAGCTAATTAGTCAATTTCTTAAGCTGGTTACTCAATTCAATTAATTAGCATTGGCTTTTTTTTTAGCTTCATTGGTGTGGAACGCCTTGATTAAATTATTAAATGACTTATTCATACAAGTCATTTGTAGTTTCTATAATTAATTTCAGATTGTAATTTCTATAATTCATTTCCCTGTAATAATCTCTTATCTCTTAGGTTCTGGTGACATGGATGGGTTGCCAAAGGTAAGGAGGATCATTCCTTCCCCATCTGCTGTTCAGTCATTGATTAAAGCGCCTGATAATTGAGAATAACATCTTGTTACTGCAGGTCTTTATTGAAATGCCGCTCGTTTTGTGACTGAGACGTTCGGTGACGTTTTTATTTATCTACACAATCTGTCTAAGATGGGAAACAAGCGGTGATGTCACACGGTTTCGGGAGTGTAATTCGGATCCCCCTCAATTTGCAGAACTCTCCTAACAACATGGCAGGCATGAATAACCCCCCCGGGACCCCGAGAGACGACGGAGAGATGGCAGGCAACTTCTTAAACCCATTCCAAAGTGAAAGTGTGAGTGTCCCACTGGATCCACGCCTGCACCCTGTGGCCGCATAGCCCAGGCACTGGGGACAGTGCGGACCCCTCTGCCCCCCCCAGAGCCTGCAGCTGAGGGACACTTCCCTCCCACCAGCGTGTGCATCTCTTACACCCCGATACGCGCCCCCATCGGCGGCCGGCGTCTGTTTATCTGTGTATTATTCACGGTGACGTCCTGATCATAGAGGATCGTACTGAGCAGCTGCCCGAAATCGCCATGGCAGCCCCATGCATGTCTGAGGTAGCAGTGTCTGGTGTCTGGTGTCTGGAGCCGGCCGGTATGTTTGCAGTTTAATAACCAATATCCACTCATCTCTCCCCCCCCCCCCCCCCCCCCCCCCCGTTTCTTTGCAGTATTCACCCAACATGACGATGAGTGTGTGATTTTTTTTTTTTCTATTTTATCTTTTATTTTCTTTCTTTTTCCTGTTTATTATTTTATTTACCACCCCCCCCCCAACCTCACGACACCCACCTCCCCCAGTATTGCTCCACCTCTCGTTATCCGTCACACCCCTTTCCCTGACCTTGGACGCCATGCTGTGCCACACAGCCCCCTGGGATGCCTCTGGAATGCAGGACTGTCAAGGCTGCCCATCCCAGCATGTGCGAAGTGGCTGGCGCCATGGCGACAGGACGCCATGGCGACAGGACGCCGTCACAGAGCCACAGGAAGAGTCTCCTTTTGCCCCCCTCCTTTGCTTGCCTGGTTTCCGCACTGGTCCAGGACAGGGGGGGGGCGGAGGGAGTTCTTGCAGTGAGACACAGATCAGCATGAAGCTGGTGTGTCTCTCTTTATTTTCGTTTTATTATACTTTTTAAATGGTTTTGCACAGTAGCTGAGTGGCTAAGTTATGCTTTGCCATCCAGCTACTATGTACATTTAAAATGAAAATAGAACTTGTGTTACTTTAGACAAGACCGGCTGTCAATATTCAATGTGTGTATTTTATTGCTAATATTATTATTGTTATTGTTATAATGTTTATCATTAATGGTGTTACAATGGTTTAGTTCAATCTCTTGGATCTTTCTGTCAAGGGCACATTTTTCGGCATCATCGGCAACACAATAAGCACATTCAGTATGCACAACGACACTTCTGTTTACATGAGTATGATATATGTCCTGTGTCGTCCGCTCTGTTAAACGTCTCCATTTCGTACTTTGTGTACCCCCTCCCATCTGGAAAACACTGCAGTGAACATCAGAGAATAGTTACAGGCGAAATTATTGCAACATCATATACCTAGTGTCCATACTCCATCCCACCAAGAGTGTTGATTTCTCTAGTTAAATCAAGTAGAATTGGCCCCTTTTGATGCAGGGCCACCCCCATGTCTGAGAACTTCACTTTCATCCTGCAAGACACTGATCAGAAACTGTCCAATGCTCATTAAAGACCAGAAGAAAACCAAACAAACCTGTACGATTCACCAAAAAGCACTGAAAACCAAGCTTTTTTATTTTTTATAGTAATAATTATATGCCAATTATTTGCGTAGAAGTTCAGCTTCCTCTCCACCCGCCTGCGTTTGTGTGTATAAATGTCTTTTGTGTTCAGTTGACCACTGCCAAGCTGATTGGCATTGAGTAGCTGCTGGTCTGCACCCATATGATTGCAGAGGAAGGCGAGTTTGGCCTGTAACTCCTGCTGTATGCACGTACACCCAGACACACAAAGAGCTCCGTCTTCAGCCACAGTGTGTTCTAGGGGGCGCTGTGTCTTTTCTGTTCAGAGGTCCGTGTTTCCTCTCTGCTGTATGTGTTCTTTCGTCAGACTGCCCGTTAGATAGGACTGATGCCCCCACATCCTGGAGTCTGGGAATTGGCTGGTTCCTCAAAGCAGTCTGCCGCTCACCAGTGAGATGCAGAACAGTCCGTTTGAACCCAGTGCCTGTTGCATGGAAGGGAAGGAGCAGCTCCATCAAGTATCACTGTCTTTGCTTCACTGGACTCTGTAGTGCAGTGTCTCCTAACCCGGTCCCCGGGGAGCCCTGGACAGCCCACATATTTGCTCCTACCAGGAGCTGGGAGGGAGCAAAAATGTGGACCGGCTGGGGATCCCCAAGGACTTGGTTGTGAAATGCTGCTTTAGCGCTTACAGCTCCAGTCTGGATTGTTTTAGCTGGTGAGAATATTTGGTCTGAGGTGGATTATTATTTCTCATTTGCTTTTCCTGCTCCAGGAAATACTGTCTGCAAAAATCTTATGTTCTTACAGGTCTGATTCTCTATCTGTAATTTTCATCTTTGTCCTTTAAATATTGTATATTCACTCTCTGCAAATGTGTGGTTTGTGCCGTCTGCATTCTCGTTGGAGATTAGGACGGCATGCACGCACGCCGCTCTTTAAGGGTCAGTGCTCCGTGACGCGGGCAATCGTGTGAGAAAACAGCCTCCATGTTCCGTTATCGTGGCAGCAGCCATCGCCAACAGGCCCGACGCACTTCTGCTCGCAGTCCTCCATCACACGACATCACAAGCCCACGAAATCACAGCCGTGAAAGTGTGCTTTTCTGTATCAAGGTCCCCGCCATTCAGTTCTAGAAATCTGGAGTTAATGTTCATCTTAGGTTCTTTTCTATTTATTTATTTATTGTTATTTTGCTTTATTGATGTCAAATGGAGTGTCCTCACATTAATGCGGTGACTTGCGACTGTCCCTCAAAAGCTTCCTTGGTCGTTCCCTCCCATTCTGAGACATGGCGGCATACAGACATTGGTCTTTCAGCTCCCAGTTGGTAATACACACTACAAGTCAAGTGCTTTGTTCCCATACTCAAGTGTTCATAACCAGTCTGTAATTTTTAGATTCCAAACTGATGCAAAGTCTGCATTATCGTCGTCGCCCATGTGTTATGTCTTGTGCCATCATGACCTCACTTCTTCCGCAGTCATCCTGTTTAGTTTCGGATGTATGGTACCCGCAGACACAGGGTACTGTGATATGAAAATGAATGAGCCTGTTGTCGTTTCGGCAGCCTCTGTGTCGTGATACTAAGAGGCGAAGAACGGCTTCGAATCGGCAGTTAAGTGGGCCGTCATCTGGACGATGTGCTGTGCACGCCCAGCTCACTGCAGCGTCCCTCTGCAAGGCCTCTCAAACCCCCTCAGCCCCACCCCCCACCCCATCCTTTTTAAAAATCTTTTCTCTTGTTCCTTTTTTTTTTTGTGTAAATACTGTATAATGCATTTTGATATCATTGACATGTTTTGATATGTCAGTCACTACCAATGACAATTTAGAAAACCTAAATGAGTATTAAAAAAAAAAATACACCGTGTTTTCATTTAAAGAGGCGATGTGCTTTAATTGAACTGCGCAGTGATCTTGATTGTAAACGACTCAGTGGAGAACTTAAGTAACTGTGGTGTAATCTGGAATTAAAACTTGGATTTCTGCACTGGGTTCGCGTATCGGGTCAGGGTTGCGACAGAAGAGCTGGTGTGTGAGTGGTTGATGCGTTTAGGGCAGTGAGGAAGGCTTCTTATAATGTGCTTTGTAATCCTAATGAGCTGTAGAGTGGAGAAATAGAGAATATGGCCGCTGCCTGACCGTGGCTTCTATCTGCATCTTCTTAATGCACTTTTATGACCCTGAATGGCGATCATGGCATTTGAAGAATGAAGCATCAGGAAATGAAATCAAATGAATAAAGGACATCGTCTCTTTAAAATCGCAAGGGACCACATATTGCTGTCTTTAATATGAAGGATTTTTATCTATTTAAAGTGAAACTTTAAAAAGCAAGAAAAGGACCTCATTTAAATAAAAATAAAATTAAAAAAAAAAAAAGGTCTAAACGTGGAGGAAGCTCACTCACCCCTGAAATAGTGCTGTACAGAATGATGCTCACCCACCTCTCCAGCCCCTTATGTATAACGATACAATGTTGGCCATTTCTGTATTTCTATTGTGATGTATAATACTGTAACATTAGCAAGAATTTTTGAGGCGTGGGGGAAGGGGTCAAAGGGAGGGGGTTTAACGGATCGTCCTGTACTGTTCATTGTCCTTTCAGATGACACGGCAGTATTCGATATGAAGCAGTCTGTCTCTTGGGTTTGCTTTGTATTTCATGGTAGGTTAGTTGAGATCTTTGTCTTAGGGAATTAGGTGTCTTGTGTAGTTAATAAAGTTGTTCCTTGTATGTTTCTTTATATTGTAAAGTTTCTTTAGACTGAAAAAAAAGTTGCTTATCGAGAAAGATGAAAAATCTGCATCAATAATAAATGTACCTTGATTTTTCCCTTGAGTCAGTGCTTTTTTCTTTTTCCTGTCAGTCAGCAGGAAGCAAGGTCCTCCGCTCAACACAGACTACACACCTTGGTCCTCCGCTCAACACTGACTACACACCTTGGTCCTCCGCTCAACACTGACTACACACCTTGGTCCTCCGCTCAACACAGACTACACATCTTGGTCCTCCGCTCAACACAGACTACACACCTTGGTCCTCCGCTCAACACAGACTACACACCTTGGTCCTCCGCTCAACACAGACTATACACCTTTGCCAAAAATCTGTTACTGTCTGTTTACAGGGCGGTTTCCTGTTAGCCTCGATTTATTTGCTTAAGGCACATGCCCACACACCTCTAAAGTTTCGTTAGTGGATATAAGTTCTGTTTATTAGCTTGATTACCACCCCAAAGCTTTCTCTATATGGCCTGTAGATCCATTATAGTTTCGTATTCCATAAAACAATGAGTTAAAACATCTAAGAAAGACAGAAATTTACAAACGACAGGAGGCCGTTTAGCCCTGTCAGGCTCGTTTGGGGAGAATTCAGCTCCCAGCTCAGAGCTGTTAAAATCTTCTCTAGCTATACATACACTAACTATACACTGTGTAAAGTAGTGCTTTCTCAAATTCAGTTTAAAATGTCGTCCTGGTAATTTCCACCTATGGCCACGAGTTCCTGCATTTGAACTAATATTGAAGTAACTATTTAGTTGAACAGCATCCAGACCTGTAAGGAATGTGGCATGTCTTTTTAGGTGGTTTTATTTGTGGCGTGTTACTTTGCTGGTTAAACTCAGCAGGTCATTTTTTGCCTGTGAATAACCTCTTCTGATATGGCCCTGTTCACATGTACTGCCTTAAAAAGCATTTGTGAAGTTTCTCCTCTGGAGGTTTCTCCTCTCTCTACATAGCAGAAGCATTAATCAAGCTGGTGAAGGTGCCTTCTGCCTGCCTGAGAGATGCTGCGGTCACATGACCCTGTGTCACTGCAGACAAGCCGAGTGACCAAGGAGAATAGATGCGTCCCTTTGTTTGGTGTGAGGCAGCACCCCTTAAGGAGTAAGTGGTTATAGCTTAGCTGTGCCTCTGCATAAAAGGCATTTCAAAAAGGTTCCATTTGCACCCTTTATAAGCTGCCAATTCTGCAGGGTTGCCAACTCTCACGCATCTGGCGTGACACTCACTTTATGATTCTCACGCTCATGCAAGAAATCTTACGGCAAATCAATATGATTCCATTATTAACCAAAAATTAGCTACAGCAAAAGCATCGGAGTGGTTTGCAGACTATTGACAAGGTAATGAAACTTACATACATGTAAATGAGTATGCAGACTTGTCTCGAATTGAAAATCTCACACCAGCCAGCTGACCAAAGTTGGTGACACTGCTTCTGACAATTACACTACTTCAGTATTTTTAGTAAATGCTTAGTAGTGCAATAGTAAAGTTATCAAACTATGTTATAAGAGACTAAGAACTAAACATTTTTCTAACTTTTCACCCTGATAATAGGACTGTCTCTGCTTCCTTGTTGTGGAGGCATGTTGGAGGATGTTGGGCAAGGTTTAATGATACTTACAGGACAGGAGTGATGGCTGTTTTGTCGCTTGGATCTGATCTTCAAGGCCACATGCTGGCAAGGGATGGTGGTGAGAGGGAGGAGCAGCTGCTTGTCAAGGATGATACCAGGCGATATGCTATTCAGAGCCTGCAAATCAACTGGTCCTAGAGAATGTTCTGGAAGCTCAGCAACTTGGGCCTGGTGAAATATTGCAGTCTTTTAGGATTGACTTATTAAATATTTACACGAAGACTGTTTTGTTATGGGATCAGCAGTTTGCCAGTTGCAACAAACCAATGCACGATGCCATTTTCTCAGGATTCCTTATTAAACAAGATTCTCTCCAGCTTTTAAAGGCGATCACTTATCGATGGCAGCCGTGTTGGTGCAAGTTGTGAATATTTTTAAAACGAGTAGCGGATAGAAAACTAGACTCATCTCCCTCTCTACACAAGATGAAAAGGAGCTGTGAAATTACTGGTTTATATCTGGGAAAGATTACTATCTGTGATGAAAAGCTATATCTGTATGAAAGCTATGCGTGGAGAAGTCATTAACACATTTAACAAGTCCCTAAGTATCCTCATCCTTGTAATATGGATAATGAGCCTTAAAAATAGGTTCGGTGAGTGTTTATGACACAGTGCGTATGTCAGATGGTGAGATGCAGAGCACCTTAAGTGGAACTGAAAGAAATGCACTTTTTTTTTCCTTTCTAAGTTCTTGAGGAGCTGAGATGGAAGCAGTGTTCCGGAAGAGGGACCTGGCACGCCACCAAGCACGCATGGATGTGAGAAGATAGAACGTGCTTGTGGAAACCAAACTGTTGATCTGCATCTAAAGTGGGGATGCTGCAGCCTAGTATTGGCTCCCAGCGCATAGTACCAGAGAATAATGTTCTGTGCCCAACTGAAGGCCCAAAAACAGGGCATGGACTCCTGAGTGCGCTTCCTGCCAAGGTTATTATGTGGGTGGTGGTGGCTTGATGTTTAGGGAAGCGCACTTGTAATTGAAAGGTTGCTGTTTCGGATCCCCAACCAGCAAGGCACCCCTGAGGTACCCTGAGCAAGGTCCTGCTCCCTGGGCGCTGAATTAGCTGCTCCCTGCTATGTCACATTGTCACATATGGGTTAAATGCAGAAGACACATTTCTTTGTTGTGCACTGTGCTGTGGTGTGTCAACACTGATCACTAAATTCTATTGGTTTCTATAGAAATTACAGATCGTCTAGAAGGAAATGACATGTTGACTGAAGGACCATTGAATCTTTTATTGCTGCCAGTTAAAGACATAATCTACAGGCCTCAGGCAGGTTGTTACAGAGTGGTAATGCAGCAAACAGCATAAATATCTTCATTTTTTCATGTATTTAAATTGCTGATGTCCGTGGTGTTAGCTGAGCTACATGCACTTATTAAGGGTAAATGATTAAATAAATTATTGCATTTCTTTTTTGATCAAAAGTATGTGAACCCCTTGTGTTTTTTGCTGGTTTAATGTATTCCAAAACTGAATAGTATATATCAACTGCCTCTGTATGGTTTCACATGGACTTATACAGTCAGTCGGGTTTTCTTTTTATGTCACACAGAAAGGGCAAAAACAAAGCCTACAGCTATGGATGAAAAGAGAAACACCCAAAAATACAGGATAAGATGAAAAGTTCATCATCCAGCAACACAGCAACAAATACATCAAAGGATGATATAACTAAAAGATCATTAAATACGTAAACGGAGGATCAGACATGAACATAAATAAGGACAATAAGCATAAAGATGTTAATTTAAAGAATAAATAAAACAAATTGCCCAAAACAGTGTATCACTACGGTAAATATAGTGCAAAAGCCAGTTGGTAAATGGAGCAAATACATTATATTAAAGAACCAATTAAGAGTGGCGCCCTATAGGAGGCTTCAATCCTTTGTGTCATAAAAGTACTCGGAACTGTGTGTTGTGGGATATTGGATCATTATTCATGAAGACTAAGGTTCCACTCCGAGGAACCTGCCTCTCATTCTTCACTCCAAACTTCCCCAAAAACGTTCAATTATGTTTAGATACAGCGATTGTGGAGTTAATGGAAGCCACTAGACTTCATCCTGGTGTTTGTGAAACTTTGTTTAGCACTGTGTATGGAGGCATAATCTTTGCAGATGAGAGCATTGTTGGAAAACAGTGTTTGCATCACAGGAATAAGCATGCCCTGTAAAATGACCATGCATTATATGCCCATGCAGAAGAACCACTGGATGTGATTATTCCGACAAGATGGTAAGCCATATCAACAAATATTATGGGGTGATTTCTCAATTTAAACCTCTCTAGATAAATAAAGGCCTGTCATTATTTTTAAATGTTCTTCTTGATGTATTAAATAATCATGCAGTTTCTGTGATTGGTGAACCTGTAATATCAAAATGACTGTCAGACCTCTTTTATACCAGACGCATGCTGATAATTGGCATTCTTTATCATATGCTGCACCGTTGCAGCTGCATCTATAATTGTGATTTGATTACTTCAAAGTTAAAATCATTTTCACGTGGCATTTACATTATTTTGTGTAATGCTTACAGATTCATTTCATGTTTTCTCATCTTATTCCACGGTTGTAGAATAAGCAACCCTCAGCTACCTCTTCCAACCACTGACTCATTCTCATTGGCCATCCCTTGGTGATGGTATCTAGGCAACATTGGATTCCCTTGTAGTAGGAACCTAGTAGCCATGATGTTTTGCTTTGAATAGTTTTTTTGTTAGCTTCTTAGTATTGCAATGTATTAAATATATTTTGCTTCGGTGCTAACTTGCACTCAGTACTAGTCTCTCATTGAAAGCTCAGCATATTTGAACTTATACCTAAGTTGGCTCCTTAACAACTGTATGCTTGTCTCACTGTACATTGTTTTCAACAAATTAAATGTTTGCTAAATAAAAAATGTATAAATGCAATTGAACTGTATGGAAAAACTACATAGTAATAAATATGGCCTGATTATAGACATTCACTCTTTTTTGCTTCTTGATGAACCAAGAGGGAAAAAAAACATACTGGCTCTTTTTCAACACACCAATGTATATATATATTTCATCAAACGTTTCCAAGTATTGTTAAGAGACCATAAACCCAGCAGTGATTAGATCGAAGGTCACACTTAGCTGGTTGCTGGAAAAAAATATATAACACACGTAGTTTCCCCCACATCTTATGTACAAAAAATAATATATTTACAAAACTGCTGGATGCGTGTATATTGCCATCACCCTAAATGCCAAACCACTAATCGTTTTCCCAGTTTCGCTGCGTGACATGGGGACAGTATTGTGCAATTCTGTTTTTACGACTTTATGTGAGACAGCAGAAAGCGTAACGTCTACTGCAACCAGCCGGCAAGTTATCCTTCTCAATCAGTGTGAGGTCATACTGGATTTC